TTGGAATTCTCATTTGCTCGGAAATGACAATGCGTCACATGAAATCTTTTGCCGTTGTGTGAGATTGGCTTGACCAATACTACGTAGTATTTTTTTAGATTTTCAGATTCAGTAGTGTGAAATGGATACAGAATCCAATATGTTTAAGTCTATCGAATTTCAAGTCGCAATCATCCCTGGACAGAGGTAGAAACGTTTTGGGTTGCATTTATCGGGATAAATATGGACCAGCTGGGACGTGATCCATCCGGATAAATGAGAATCTTCCAATCGGTGACGTGTAGTTTCAAACTAGCCAATCAGACAGCAGATCCCAAATTCTCTTGAAAATATCCCTTTCATTTCGAGATGCTCGCAAATGAGAGCAAGATGAAACCACGCTTTGACTTTGGTGGTAATACCAGACATCCACCAACGCGATCCACGCACGACACATGACACAGAGTTGGTCCCAGCAGAAGCGCAAATTGTACGGCGGCGAAAACAAGTCATCCACGCGTCAGATTGTGACAAGGCCATGAAGGAACTGCAAATCATCTGGAACGACCCACCCGCCAACGCGCCAAACATCGATGACGATGGCGATGCTTTTTGGGGACCTGTCGTTCTGTGTGAGGCCATCACGTGGGACGATTTCCAAGGATGGCTCAACCGCAACGAAGGGCGTGTGCGACGGTGGGTCTTTGAGCCTCTTGCAGATGGAACGGAGAAAGGACGAGTGGTCATTTACAGCATATCTTCCGGCGTTCACGCTAGAACAGCAGGTCGAATCGCAACCACCATCCGCGATCAAGTCGGAAGGGCCGGGAATGACTTTGACCTGTTGGAAACTGTTGAAATTGCAACTGATCCAACATGCCGCACTGGAGATCGTGGTCAAGAACCAGACACGTGTATTTATCCAGCGGGTGTGACGATTGGAGGAGCAGTGCTGGAGTGTGCACCCAACCAACCATATCCCAACGTTATCGTTGAAATCGCCTACAAGAATGAACGCCTTGGTGACCTTCGTGCAAAACTGCACCGTTGGATGCACAACACTACTGTCCAGGTGGCGATTGGAATTAAAATCGATGCTGCCTCATCCAATCGAGTGGCAATCCTGTGCCAGCGTGGTCAGCCCAATGAAGAAGTGGCATTTGGCTATCCTCGATTGCCTCCACTTGCGATTTCGTTTCCATTTGCTCTTATCTACACTGGTGTTGCAATGCCACCAGCTTTGGCAGCCCTCGCGAATCCTCAGATTACCATTGACCTGATTGCCTTGCGGACGTTTATTGATGGAATCCTCTAGTGGAAGAAGCAACGTCTGCAGCATCGAGCTGCGGTCGGTATTTGCCCAAGTATGTCAAGGCTAGCTGCCGTCGGCCTATGGAACTCTCGTCATGACAAGTCGCAAGCCAAAAGACCGCGCAGACACAAAGTACGAGAGCCACTTCGGACGGCGGAACCCCGTCGTGCCACACGAACAAGCGTGCTACGTCGTCGTAGAGAGGCGCCGCGCCAGCTACGTCGGCCTAGACATAAATATCTCAGCACGTTGACGAGTGTCTTGCCACGGATAGCTCACGTGAAAGAGGTGCAACCACATCGCTTTATAGAGCAAAAGTCGTGTGATGTGGGGAGTTGGCGGGCCTTGGCTCTGCACTTGCCACCGCACGTGAAATTGGTGCAGGTTGATCATGGAGCGGACGCAGTCAAAGAGGCGTCGATTGTGTCCTTGGTTGCGAAGCCACGTCTACACGATGCGTTGGCAAGTCCATGCCTCGTGCGTAGATTACCGTACTTGGATAAGCATAGCCGCATCGACCTGGGACTTGCGCGAGATGGCAGCGCGTCGAGGGTAGATGTAGTGCGCGTACGGCACTCTGGTATGGGTGTAATTGAGCACGAAGTACCATTCTCGCATGGCATTCACAGGCGTTGCGTTGCGTAGCATGCGGGGCTTTGACGCGTCGCGCCACAGCCCTGGATCGCAAGAGTAGAGACGGTCAACTCTACACTTGACGGACCGAGTCGGCGTACCTGATGGACCATGCACGTATTGATATCGGTTCTTGACTTGCAAACGCAGCCACTGATGGATGGCGAGATCTTGGACGCGTTGCTGGGCAAGTTTTCGTCGAATGTGACGCTGGAGCTCGACAACGACATGCGATTGCAGGAGTTGGTCGACATCGCTTGATGGCACGACCGTGTACTGGCCGTGGGGTAGAACGGAAACAACTCGCAAAGTGTGAATCAACTAAGCCCGTCAAGAACTCGGGGTTGAATGGAAAAGATGCCAGTGGTCGATGCCGTACCGCATGCAAGTCACGTAGCTGGTTGGACGTAGACGGAAAGCACCACGTCCGGGAATCTCTATACACGCCGCATATATGAGCGCCCCATCGCCGTTCATGTTCTTCTGGAGCCTAAAGACGATGCACGATACTCTGTAGATCGACGTACGCTGGATTGTACACTTGCACCACGACTTCGTTGCTATACTCGATGGCCTGGACGATAAATCGCGCCAGTTGGCGCTGCGGACGCTGAGGAATGTGCGCCACCGACAGCGCCTTGGCTAGTTGAAGCACGCGACGACCGGGACGCGCCGCGTGCTCTTTCA